CCTTTTCTATCTTTTGCAGATCCGTTAGCACTTTACCACACGCCTTCATCTGGTTTGTTAGTGTCACTACTCTTGAGAAATATGGAGAAACAAATGCATCCTCTTTCATCAGCAGCATCTCATACTGCTTTCTCAGAGTCTGCAACTTCACTTTCTTCAATTTCTCATCTCCACTAAATAAGGACTTCAGCTTTTCCCAAGCTCCTTTTGTTGTTTCTTCTTCGATTATCTTCTCAAATACATCACAATCCACACACTGGTGAATCAAGAACAACGCATTGCCATCTTTCTTCCTCTGGTCTTTGTGCGTAGCTGTCTGAGCTTCCGTAGCATTCACTTCCAGTTGTGATATTGCATCATTCAAGATTTCTATAACATCTTGAAATCTGAAAATAACCTTCATTTGTGTCACCCATCATTGATAGTTTTCACCTTTGAAAACTGGTAGATTTGTTTGAAATTGTGTTGATGTTGTTGATCCGTTTGCCATTAGATTCACTCCGAATCGCAAACAAGCTCTTGATACCAATTTGTTAGAACAAAGGATTCAAGAAAGATGAATATTGTGAAAAAAGAAGAAGAAGAAGAAGAGAGAGAGAGAGTTGGGTTAGTTAAGTGTAAGTAACTCTGAACTGAATTCAGTTATTATTGTTGCTTGTTATCATTACAAATACAATGGCCCTTTATATAGACAAAGTGTCGAGACCCAAATACATACTAAAAATTCAAATAACTACGTAACAAAAATTAACCAACTAACACTTTATACACCCCTTCAATTAATAGTTAATAAAAATTGTCGTTTCATAACTACAACATAACTTATGAAATTAAAAATCCAAACCACCACAATTCCTACAAATAAAATCATATAATTCATTCACAAGAACTTCACTTCCACAATTTTTATGCATTTGTTTTTCTCACGAAATTTATATCCACAACATTAAAAATTGTCAAATACTCAACAATTACTAATTCAATAGAACAAAAACTAAACTATATGTAATAATTAAAATGAATTAATGTATGGTAATGTTAAGTATTAAATAATTAGATACAAACAAATATTATTACATTCACTGATTTCGAACTCATCCCCGCCTCCGAAGAGATCGATTTTCACATCCTTGGTGTTAACCTTTGTCTCAAAAACTGATCATCCTCAGTGATAACCTTTGTCTCGAAAACCGATCGATAAACTTAATATAACCCATACATAAATGAAAAATTAGAACTTGAAACGATTTTAGAATTGAAAACAATTTTGGTAAATTTGTAAGAGATGAGTTTAACTTCACATTAGAATTTTAACTTATTTCCAGTTTCCATGTTCAGTGATTTGGACTTTTGGGAAATTGATTGAGGATTTGTGTCGAGCACTTGGCGTGTATAGTTACGAAGCAGAAATCACGGTAACAATTCGATGCTGATTCATGAATCACAACCTGCCACAACAACAATTCAATAGTAGAGAATCAAAAGAGAAAGAAGAGAAAGGAATTCGTTGGAAATCAGTAAGTGAAATGCGAAAACTTGATTCAAGCCAACAACAAACTCTCGAGGATCAAATGTTTCAGTGTCCAAAAATTTTGAACAAAAATATTTCAATTTTCTCAATTTTGAAGAGGGAGTGAAGTGAATCTGAAGGTGGAAGCGGCTGATTTTAGGGTTTGACGGCCAGAGAGAAGATAAGAGATAAAATGGAAAAGAGAGAAGGGAAATATTGTTGTTGTCTTCGGGTTGCCGTTTAAATCTGAATAGTTTATAACGTAATTATGATAATAATCACTTTTATTTTATTATATTAAAAGTAGATTCATTCACCATCTAATTTTTCTTTCAAATTAAATTTATTTTTCTTTTATATTTTTTTTTTCATTTCATCATTTTATCTTTTTTATTTTATTTTTTTATTTTTTTTAATTATTTTTAATATATTAAAATATATAATTATAGTATATAATTATTTATTAGTGTATAAATATATACAATTCTGATATTTAATAAATAGTCATACATACAACTAATTTTTCAACTCACAAATTACTATCAGACAAATACATACTTTATTTTAATTAATATTTTTATTATTTGAGATATAAAATTCTTATTTTCAAATGTTAAATTTTTTTCTCACATGTCACGATCAGAAAAATATCTATTTTATTTTAATTAACAATTGCTTTTATTTGACATACAAAAATTTTATTTTCAAATGTCAAAAATTCTTTTTTTCTCACAAAATACTATCAACAAAATACTTATTTTATTTTAATTCAAATCACCTTTATTTGATACACAAAATTCTTATTTTTAAATATCAATTTTTTTTCTTTTATTTTAGAGATATTTTTTTTTATAATTATTTAATACAATTGAATTTATAATATTATTATTTATTTTATAATTAAATAACTAATTTTAAATTTACATATATAATTAAATAAAATCTATATTATATCAAATAAATTTATCAGTGGAGACATTAGGGTATTATGCTAATAAACTAGTCTATTGAGACTACAATCACAATTAATCAAGACATCCACACACCTATTTATTTTGCGATAACAAACTTAATAATATAATTTAAAAATTAATCTATTATTTAATTTCTATCATACTATAAATTTTTGTTAATGGTTAGTTAAATCATTAGATTAATTAAAATATAAATTTTTATAAATTTTTATTAATGATTAGTTAAATCATTAGATTAATTAAAATATTAAAATCTTATTGGGATCAGAAGGATCTTCAGTGATCTGTAATATTTAGACTTTTATGATTGTTGAAGTGAACGGGAGGTGTACTTGCAAGGTACTCCGATGTCAAAGTAAGATTTAGAGTAAAGAAAGACAAGTACATAGTGTAAGTGAGTAGAATTGAGTATCTGACCCTCTAATGAAAGAGAGTGTTTATAGCCTTGAACGTTGGGCCAAGGTCCCTATTTTGGGTCGGATGCCCAAACCCATAATGGAGACTGTCAGGATCCTACGTGGATAGAGGAGACTAGTTCGTTGTCTCTATCCTGGTTCAACTGCCCCATAATTCTCGGAGGGTGGAAAACCTGTTCTTTTTGGAGGACATGATGACTCTGTGATATTCGGAAGAATATTGGCCATGTATCCTTGACGGGTACGTGGAGGAGACGTCCTTGACGGGCACGTGGAGAAGACTTTCTTGACAGACACGTGGAGAAGACTTTCTTGACAGGCACATAGAGGAGACGTCTTCGACAGACACATGTTAAAGGCGTTCTCGACGGGAACGTGTGGGAGACGTTCTCCAACGATCATAGCAATTTGGGCCACTATAGTAGACTTTCCTCGCAACAGAGTTGGGTTAGATCCTGCCAAACGGCAGACTAAATGCAGACCCAATCCAAAACAACTAATAAAATAATAACATCTTGTTGGTATTTTAAAACAACAAATACAAATATAAGTTCTAAGAATATGTTAACAAGAATGTTATTTTTACACATATTATATCCTCGTTATTTACATCAAATACTGTTCACCATATTCATATCGTGAATAATATTTTTTTAAATAAATAATATGTTTATAAACAGTGGGGTGAACAATTACATAAAAAGTATTTGATGTTCATGTACAGTAAACATTGACTTTTGATAATAAAACAAAATTGATTAATAAAATATAAAAAATTAATTAATAAAATGATGAAGTTGATTAATAAATATTTAGATATTAAAATTGATTTATTAATAAAATAAAATTGTTTCATAAAAAATAAAAAATTAGTTAATGAAGTGATGATATTGTTTAATAAATATTTTGATATTAAAAATAATTTTTAATAATAAAATAAAGTTGATTAATAAAAAATAAAGTTTATTTAATAAAATTAATTATAAATGTTCTAATAATAAAAATAAGTTTAATAATAAAATAAAATTAATAATATAAAATATTAATTAATGAAGTTATGAAATTGATTATTCATATAATTTCACTATATATTAATCTAAACACGAATAAAAAAGAAATAAAAAATAATCTTTTATATTTAAAAAAAAATTATTATTATAACGTAAAATTGTATTGGTGAAGAGTAAAATATAATATAGATGTATGACTTTGGTGTAAAAATAGTATTTTTAATATTTTAAATAGTAAAACTTTAGTTTTTATTGGATGATGTTAGGAGTACGGACGTATTTCTTTCGGTGTTTAATTCTCAAAATTCTATTGGTATCACATGAAAGTCTAGATTGAGTCAAAAAATGAAAGTGTAGAATTTTTGGGTCAAGAAAGTCTTAAAAGTCTCAAATATTCAAATTATCCTATTGCAGCGGTCAAAATCTTATCCTAGACAACTCAAGTTTTAAGACAAAAAGCAAATTGATAGTCGTGTTTTTCATTTTTTGTGGTCAAATTAAATAAAACTTACTTTTGATTTTTTTTTTTGGGTACACTTACTTTCACTTAAAGTCAAAGTAATTATATATATTCCAAATTTTCAACCAAAATGTTACTCTTCCCTATTTACATGTAGCTTTAATATCTTATTTATCCACATAAATTAATTTGTTATTCTTAATATAACTATTTATTCTTTGTCATAATATTTCTTTTTCTTATTGTATGACAAATAAATAAAATACACAAACATAAAAAAATCAAGGTGAAACATTTTGCATGCAACTTGCAGGTAACAATTTTTCAAAGAAAACAAGACTTTATAATATGATATTTCAAGTCAATATTTCTAATACTAATGCCTTTACAACCCAAAGGATCTCACAACTTATAAGAGAAGAGATCTATGTCATAATATAAACATTCAGTAAAGAATTATAATATAAATGAACATAACCTGATCAAAGAATAGATGAAACCTCTATACAGAGAGATATTACATATAAAGAACAAATTCTGATTTACAGGGCTATATATGTGTGTGTCTTGTCCATATATATCAATCAACGTTGATATATATAAATACCAGGTGTACCCCTATCCACATTTTTAAGAATATGATGCAGCTAGCAGTGCTGCTCCAATGCCTGATCCATCTTCGGTGACATTTAGAGTTACATGCTTTGCAATATCTTCCCCCAGTATTTCGTTTAGAGCTTCATGCAAATACTCCCTAAACAATGTATAGCTTGAGTATAATCCTCCTTCGATTGCCACAACTGTTCTTTTCATTTTTACATCACTCCTATTTCGTCCTCCTGTGATCCCGCCACTCCCGTCGCGACCAATCTTCTTCAATATACCAACAATACCAGCAGCTGCTAACCGAGCAGCTCTACGAGTCACCACATCACACACCTTCACCACAATTTTTCTTGCTTTCAATGGAACATCTGGAATCTAAGACAGCCAAATACAAGATAAATTATTTTTATAATTGCGAGCAGGACGACACCTATTTAGGAATCAAAACTATTGTGTCTGACTTATTTACCTCAAAGGTGTCATTGAGGATTCTTGCTACTTCTATCAAGTCAGGTGAATCATCCTCATGCATAGCAGCCATCAAAGGAGTCCTGAAATGACATCAGGTAAAAGTTTCAAATCTAATTCAAGCAAGAGATTTGGAAAACAAGAATTGAGCATGGAACATTGTAAACATCCAGGGAAATATATCATCCGGGCCTATAACTAATGCTATATCAAAAAGCATTCTATGAGATGAAAACCAATGCAATGGTGGCCCAACAAGAAAATGGAAGAGTGCATCATATCAAAAAGCATGCTATGAGATCAAAACAATACAATGGTAATAATCTTAGAACATAAAAAGCAAAACACATAAACTGAGCATGTGCTAATAAATCTCTCCACATCAACCTAATCTATAGAAAAAAAATGTTAATTAGTTAATGAAAGAAAACAATAGTTAAACAAAAAATCCTAATACCACCAAGAGGATAAGAAAGAAAACAAAAAGAATCGTTCCATCGTGTTTCGGGCACTAAAATTAAAGATGAACACTCAATGAAATTGAACTTACAATATAACAAATAATTTAGTTAATATAGCACATATGATAGAATAACAGAAATATTCAATATCAAATGAATACTTGGTGGGTTGTGATCTACTGCTTAGAAATGACAAAATCACCAAAACAAACATTAATATTAAAAAAATAATTCTACATTTTTTAAATTGAATATTTGAGGGTAGAATTAGGCTTTTGCAAATGCTTTGTAAAACCAAGGTAAAGTACTTCAATAGAACTCCAATGGGTTTGAAAATATGGAATATTTTCAAGTGTAAAATACGGCTTTTGCAAACACTTTGTTAACTCAAGGTAAAACTGCTTACAATAAAACTACAATGGATTTGAGCCTACCCTACCCCCTACCCAGATTGCCTTTTTTAATTACTATCACATACTCAGTATTGCCTGATAAGTATGTTTTTCTCAACATAGGACATACCTCAATACGAAAGGCGTTGAAAGCTTGGTAGAAATAGGTCCAAACAACATATCCGACTCCAGTGACATCCTGAGAATGACTCTCCTCACAACATCGCCAAGATACATTCCCGATATCATTTTCTCAAAACCCTGCACCCAAATCACCAAAATTTTAGCCATGACAAAGGATAAAATCAAGCAACAGAAGTCATTAGCAGCAGAACTTGACCTGATCATTTGGATTAGGGCTTTCAGCATCTAACTCAATGTCATATGGTGTTCTTGGTAAGTGAGACGACCAAAAGTTTCCCCATTCCATATTGACAACCTAAAAACAGAAGAATTACATTAAGTTCATAACTAGAACCCAATAATTAAAAAAAAAACACTGAAAAGATAGAATAATACCATGCGTCCTGATGTTGTAAGAAGACCCTGACACTTGATAATAGCATCAATTCGTTCCAGATAGCATGCATTAGTACCAGTACCAATAACTATTGCAGCAACAGTGTCAGGATCATGATAGTGTCCAACAGCTAATGTTCCAACAGTATCATTAACCTGCATAAAGTGAAGACAAAAGCATACAATAAGTAATATAGTGAAACAAATAGATTTATTTTACACAATACCCATTTTTCTCCACAACAAAATTAAGATGTTAAAAAAAATAACTACACAACTATAGAAATGGAAGTCAAGACAACATTTATCAACAAGCTCATAAATCACAAGATAAGGACTCATTGAAGGTGGAAACAAGCACAGAAATCACAAGATACACTTGTGTAAAAACTCTGTTGCTTATTAATAGTCACATTTAGAGAGATTTTCTGTTCCTATTTACTTGTCATTTACAAAGTTCAATGCAACATTAATTATAGATTTGTTTAAAATACCCTTAGTTATTTATTGAAGAGAGAAATAGATGAATTGAAATAATAAATGATTAAGGTTATAATAGGAAAATGAGAAATAATAGTGTTAAAAGTAACAACACTTATCAAATACATTGTTGAGTAAAAAGTTTTAAAAAAAACGACGTGTAAAAAGTAGCGGAGGGAGAATAAGGCAAGCATTACTTAGGGAAGAATTGGGTAAAAAAAGAGAAACATATAAGACCATAACACGGGAAATTAACTCCTTATCAATGTAATAATAGTGTTAAAAGTAACAAATTTATATTGGTGTATGTAAAAAGTCAACACGTAAAAAGGAGCGATGGGAGAATCAGGCAAGCATTACTTTCTGAGGGAAGAATTGGGTAAACAAAGAAAACATACAACATCAAAAGAAACTAATTCCTTACCAAGGCAGCTACATGCACATCCAGGCCTTTTCTTACAAATGCTTCCTGCAAACACGCCACAACATCTCTTCCTACCTGACAACAAATAGCTTTCGTTTGTTGATATTTACATCATTATACTGAAAAACCAAGTGCATCTTGAATGGGATCAATATATCGGTTTCGTAACTATTTAAGGAGGATAGAAGAAAATAGCCAATTTTAAAGATCAATCAGAAATATCAAGTGACTGACCATATCTACAATGGAAAACCCTTTCGTCCACTTGATTAAAATCCCCGAGGAAACAGACATTTGTTTCATAGGAAAGGAGAATGTGAAGCCAAGCTCCCTTCTGTCCTGTGAAATATTGGAACCATCTCCTTCTTTTGCAATGAACTCCTTTAACGATGATGCGATAAAATCAAAGAGATCCTGCAAGCGAAAAATTCAATTTAATCTTATTACATGAAAAAGACATTATCAGAACAAATGAATACTATAGAGCACCAAAGTTTTAAAGTGTTCATCTCGTCACCTCGCTTGTGCTAGTCATTAGATGTGGGGGAACGGGTTGTCGCTCTACTTCATGCTCCAAGACAGGAGATGGTTGACCACTTAAATGAACCCTCGTGACCCTAAAATTTGTGCCCCCAAGATGCAGCGCATAATATGGTCCTTTCTCAGTCCTGACAAGAAAAAAACAATTTAACAAAGGGACTCTGAAATCAAAAATTGAAGTTATGATGTTCATGAGCGTTGTTGATAACATGTATGAGCATCAACATTGCAAGGTAAAGAAAATGAATGCATTTATGCTCGTAGTAGCAAACCCAGATCCACAAGGTGAATCTTCTTGACGCAGTAACGCTCTAAGCAGATATAAACAAAATTGCACAGCTAGAACCAACAACTTTTGGCGTGTCATTTGGCGCGTGTCGTAGCGCGTTAAATGTGAACGCAATAAATAGCTGTCATAGAATCAGCTGACAGTTTGGCACATGGTCTCTTCCAACACCAATCCAAACACGCAATCTATCAATCATTCTAGAAGTTTACGAATCAGCTTATTATTGAAACAAATCATGCATTAATTTTCAAGAGTACACTAGCCGGCAGGAGCGTCAATTGGCGCATGCCATAGCGTGTTAAATGGCAACACAATAAATAGCTGTCATAGACTTAGCTGACAGACTGACACGTGGTCTTTCCCAACACCAATCCAAACACGCAATCTATCAATCATTCTTATAGCTTACAAATCAGGCTTATTATTGACACAAGTCATGCATTAATCTCCCAAAGTACGCTAGCCGACAGGCGCGTCTAGAGCGTGCCATAGCGCGCTAAATGCCAACACAATAAATACCGGTCATAGTGACAGTTTGACACATGGTCCCTCCCAACACCAATCCAAAAACACAAAGTATCCATCACTCTAGAAGGTTACGAATGAGCTTATTATTGAAACAAATCATGCATTAATTTTCTAAGTAATTGGTGCATGCCATAATGCGTTAAATGCCAACACAATAAATAGCTGTCATCGACTAAGCTGACAGATTGACACATGGTCTTTCCCAATCCCGGCGCCAATCCAAACACGCAATCTATCCGTTAATCTGATAGCTTGTGAATCAGCTTATTATTGACACAAATCGTGCATTAACCTCCTAAAGCACGCTAAATGCCAACACATTAAATAAACACATTGACATGGTTTTTCCCAACACCAATCCAAACACGCAATCTATAAATCATTCTAGTAGCTTCCAAATCAGCTTATTATTGAAACAAATCATGAACCAATATGCCAAAGTACACTAGCCAACAGGCGCGTTCATTGGCAGGTGCCATGGCGCGTTAAATGCCAAAACAATAAATAGCTGTCATATACTTAACAGACAAAGTTAACCTGATCTCTTTCAACACCAACCCGAACACGCAACCTATCAATCATTCTAACACCTTCACAGATTAACTTATGAATGAATACAAATCATGCTTCACTTTCACAGAGTAAATTAGCCAGCAGCCATTTATTGAATGTACAAAGAACATTTTGCATCAACAAAATTTAAAATTTTCATAATCAAAATGTCTTTCAATTTCATCAGAAATCAAAATCACATACAACAGAAATAAAATGCACACAATGAACTAAGAGTAAAATGAAAGAAACATCAAATAGACAACAGATTCGGATGTACGATAAAAATAACAAAGTTACAACAGCGTGGAAAACAAAAAACGTCAAAAGTAATATAGAAAACTTGAAAACAACCTCTGAAATGACAGTGATGAAACAAAACGGTCAGCATTTCGAAAGCAACAGCTGAATAGTCAACAAAATCAATCACATCAACAACTAATTAAATTCAATAGCACAGTTAAAAGACGAGAAAAAAAACGTAGTAAAACCAAAATCAAAGACGAAAAAAATTACCCATTGGGAAGATTATCGACATAGGTAAGAAGCATTTTGAGCTTAGAACCACCTTCAGATGCCAAACCAGCGTGCATCTCCACCGCCATAGCATCCACCACCTGCCTCAACCTCCCAACACTCGTATCGCAACCTTCCTCAAGCTCCTTCAACACATTCCCTACCTTCTTCCACTTCCTCCTACTCTTGACTCTCCTCCCAACCACAACCGCAGCCACCGCACACGCCGCCACAGCCACCGTCACCGTCACTCCCACAACCACTCTTCCCATTTCACCGATCGATCAAACTACATCCGAAACGACGCCGTTTACCAACTCTTCTTCGATTTCCCACCGCAGCAAAACGTCGCCGTTTTAACATGCACGCAAACGAAGCACTTTAAAATAAACTTAAAACACTTGGAAAATAAATTAAAAATAAATAAGATTAAGGTGAAATGATGAATCTCCGGTGAAACGGGAAAGTCGCCGGCGATTTAATTTTCCGGCGAAAGTGACGCGAAAAGTGAGAGAGTGAAAAAGAGAGAGAGAGAGAGAGAGAGGCGGCTGAGTGTAGAATTACGAAGAAGTGTTGGAAGAAGAACCGGAATGGTAACTTTTTATAACAAGGGTCAAAAGACGGATTTGTCCTTAGACAGGTATGGATATTACGGATTTGTCACGGTATCTCTTTTTACCGTTTATGACAGATTTTGAGGTTAATGACAACTTTGACTTGCGCTCTTCTTTTTCGTTCATTCTCTTTCTACGTTCTATATCCCCAACCATCTATCTATTTTCCACAAATAAATAATTAAAATAAATATTACATGCAAAATACCGTTTTTTTTTTAATTTATTTATTGTCAATCAGTATCACGGTTTGAATATTTTAAAAGCGATACCAATTCTGTGAATATTTACACTACTGTATTATTATTAAGAATAAGAATGAGAATGATACGACTCTGATAAGATGAGAATAATAACAGTAATAAAACTATTAAAGGAAATGCCTATATTATTCTTCTGCTTCTTTGTTATACTCATTTTTTTATGATAAAAATTTAGAATAATATTACCATTTTTTTTATATGTATGTTCACTGAAATGGTTTTTGTATAGATTTATAGTATTAAAAATTCTGTCAAAATAAACATATTAAAAATTCAGTATTCCTTATTAATATTAAGAAGATAGTATTAATTTTATTTAAAAAATATTTTTAAATTCTTTTAATATAGTTTAATACTTTAACTAGTTTTAGAATTTTCTTCCTAATCAAACATTTATATTTTTTTAACTAATTGAGAAATTCAAATGGCTAACAAATTTTACTTAAGCACAAATAGTTTAAAAGCAATCATTTCAATTTCTATAATTTACGGTTTATTTTTTGAGAAAATGGGTAATGCACAGACAGTGTAAAAAAAATTTACACTGCCAACCAATCACGACCATGAATTCAGTCAAATGAGACTGTTATTTTAGAAAAAAATATATGACATATAGCAAAACGATATGTTTCTATTGAATGACACTGTAAAACTTTTTTACACCATTAGTGTATCTCCTTTAAACTCCTATCTATCATATAAGAAAAATAACTCATCTTTTCTTACAATGTGCCACGTGGCTTTCTAATAGCTCAGATAATTAGTTGTTCCAAATGTTTCAATTTGTTTTCCCAAAATATGTTCTCCACTTCCACTACAAGAAAAAGTTGATTTAGCTTGGGGCAAATGGCTAGGGATTAAGCCCCTAGCTAAATTTACAATTAGCTTGGGGTAATCCCCTGTCTAAATAACATAAAAAAAGAAGGTTTAAAATTGGGTGTGGCTAGGAGCTCTCAGTAACTAAATTTTAAGAGGGAATTTGAAAATAAATTCGTTGGACGCTTGCGAGGGGGTGGCACATGGGAAAAAGGAAAAATATTTAGCGAGAGGGCATCACCTCGCCATACATAATAGCCGTTGGCTATTTGCGAGGAGCGATCACCTCGCCAGAAATATTGTACCCACTTTCACATCACATCCTGTTCTGCTCAATTCCTGAACCGGCTTGCGTGTTGCTGTGTGGCAACAGTTGTTGGCAGCTAGCGAGGAGCTAGCCCCAAGCTAAGTATGGTACCGTTTGGCAGCTAGCGAGGAGTCAGACCCAAGCCAAGTTTGATACCGTTTATCAATTACGTATTATAACTTCTTGTTTCTCTTTCATTTTACCATTCTTCTTCCAGCCTCTCTCAATTTCTTCTTCTGTAACTCTCTCAACTTCCTCTTCTCCTTCGTTTTTTTTCTCCATTAATCCTACATTTTACTCTATTTGAAAGCTTTATTTTTTTATTTCAAAGATAATAAAATTATTTCTATATGTTATTTAAGATATATATTGTTATATTAATTTATAAATTTTAATTTTTGTTAGATTAAATTCGTAGGTCTTTATTATATTTTTCTCCATCAACACTAGCTTTGTTTAATAAAGCTTCTTTATAAGATACGTAATTTATTTTATTTTTTTATTGAAATTTTTTCTGAATTATATGTTAGATTTAGATAAATTAAACTGGTTTAGGTATGTATTAGATTTAGTTGATATATATATATATATATATATATATATATATATATATATATATATATATATATATATATATATATATATATATATATATATATATATATATATATATATATATATATATATATATATATATATATATATATATATATATATATATATATATATATATATATATATATATATATATATATATATATATATATATATATATATATATATATATATAAAGTTAATTGTCATTCTGAAAATACATTATATATTTTTTTTTTATATAATAGATAGTTTATTTAGATTATATATAGTATACTTAGTTATTTTGGAAAATATTATATATTTAATTTATATTAAAAAAATATATTTAGTTTATATAAAATATAATAAATATTTAGTTAATCTAAATAATAGTATATTTAGTTTATAGAAAAAATAGTATATTTAATTTATATTTAATTTAAATATTTAGTATATTTAGTAAATATTTAGTTTAAATAAAACATAATATATTTAATTTATATAATAAAAAAAACAGTGTATTTAGTTATAAATAGTGTTCTGGACTGGGCCCGCCCTGACCCAAAAGCAAGAACGAAGGCCCAATCCAAGCAATTCTTCGAGGAGCGCGCGTCCGAGGATTCCCGCCAGCGCGTCCGACTAGAAACTGCAGTCGTGCCCGCCGTCACCCGCGAACATGGTGTCCTCGACCACGGAAACTCCAGCTCGAGCCCAGCTCGAGCACCCTCCTCGTAGGGCAGACTCTGACCGTTACCAAATCACCTGAACTCCGGAAAGACTGCGTCTTCGTCCCTCCTCATTTCTCGCAGAGCATCACCAGGAAAGAGACCACGTGCGGGTCCCTACTACACACGTAGAACCTGGCAGTTCCTTTATTGGGTCAGTTCTGGTCGGCCCAATGAAGGGACCTTGGCCCCGTGCTGGGGGCTATAAATACCCTCTGTTCCTAGAGGGTCAGGTATTCATCTCTTACCCATACATACGTTTTTTGCCTGCTCATTCTGTCACTCATTTTAGCATCGGAGTGCCTTGCAGGTACCCCCCCCCCCATCTCACTCAACTTCTGCTCGGAGCCATTCGTGACGGTCCAAGTTTGATCAGGTAAGATCAGTGGCGTCGTCTGTGGGAACCTAGCTTCCCCGTCTTGTAAAACCTCGAAGACCAAAGCTCAATATCACTTCCTACCGTCATGGTTGACCAAGTTCGGGATGACCAAAACATATGCGTCGTCGACATCAACAACGACCTCGCAGATAAAAATGGACTCCCCGACAACACCGGTAACCCCGGTCATAACACACTCCTCGAGGGCGCCAACCTCGGGCCCTCAGTCCACCGCGACGGAGTTACTGCCTCATCCTCTTCAGTCCCTCCACCGCTCGAAGAAGACAACGCAGCTCCCACAAGCCATCGAGCTGCCCAATTTCAGGAAGTCCCTGTCCCCGCCGGGGCAGATGCCACAACCCGCGCACTATTCGCGGCGATCAATCAGACGAATTACCTCATCTTCGCCCAGGGGGAAAGATTGAGGGCACTAGAAGACGATCGAAGACCCGCGAGGAGACACAGGAGGCCTCAGACTCCACCTCCTCGAGTGATAGAGGTACATCTCCCGTCTCCCCCACGGAGACAATACAGAGACACCTCCCGAAGCCCGTCACCCCGACCCTCGGGGAGATGACCCCCTTTGGAGAGGCAACCCGTCATTGAAGTCGGGGGACGCGGCCACGCCCCCATACGGCAAGAAAGAAGACACTCTGGAGACAGGCACGAAAGAATCAACCAACAAGCACCATGCTCGAGGGATGCCCAGCACGACCAGGACCGTCGGGCGCGACAATATTACAGGTCCCCGTCCCTGTCCCCGGAGCGAAGTGACGAGGACGACCCCCGCGGTCCCCTGTCACAAGCCATCATGGAGGCGCCCATTCCCCCGAGCATGGAGAAGCCTCCACATCTGAAGGAATACGACGGAGTTCCGGACCCGGTCGACCACATAGACGGGTTCGAGGCTATGTTGCACTACCACAACGTTGGGGGACCCATCAAATGCCGGCTGTTCCCCACGACCCTCAGAAAGGCAACAATGGATTGGTATAAAGGCCTCGCTCCGAGATCAATCACCTCGTGGCGAAAACTGAAGAACCAATTCATAAGTTCGTTCACTGCGTCTCAGCGACACCCAAAGACCGAGGCGGCTCTCGAGGCCATCATCCAGAGACAGGATGAAACCTTGAGAGAGTTTATTAATCGCTTCAATCGTGAAGCCATACAGGTCCCCTGCGCGGACCACATGAAAAGGTATTTGCTGGAGAGGGGGCTTCTCCCCGGCACAAAATTCAGAAAGGCAGTAGGCATCGAGCCACCTCAAACATTCGATGCCCTCCTCGAAAAATCCCGGGCATATATGAATTACGAGGAAAGGGAGGTGGCCAACAGAGCCCGGGACCCCAGAACTCGCGGATCCAGCAGCAACCCACGCCAGGAAGCCGCTCCTCCTCGACGAACCGGGGAGAAAATAAAAGAGGACAAACCCCGAGAAGTCTGAGAGCAAAGAGGACCCTCGGGGCGTTTTACCGAATACACTCCGCTCACAGCTTCCCGCGAGCGCATTTTGGCGGAGTGTGCCAGAACAGATTTTAAAGACGGTGGCGTCAAACGCCCCCGACCTGCCCCCGCCAAGCCCGGAGCAGACA